GGAATGAGATGTTGTTTAAGGTCCCTTCCAACCCAAACCATTCTACGTCTCCCTTCAAGCAGAGCCCCAGGAAAAGTGCCCAGTGCTGCTGCTGTGTGCGCAGAGCACAGCTGGGGTTACGTGGGATGCAGTTCTTCAGGGCATTATTTTGTTTTGCCACCAGACTGTGGCCCATCCCCGATCCTTCCCCAGGGGAGCAGAGCACTCATCCCTTCTCCCTGGCAGGGGCAGGAGGTGCAGTTACCCTCAGGACACAGATCCCCAGGGCTGGGGCAGGGACATCCCAGGGTTTTGGGGTGCAGATCCCAGAGATTTGGGGTGTACCATGCCTTGGACTGGCCTTCCCCACCTTGCCCCTGTCCCAGGGGGCTCTGGCAGCAGCTGAGGGGATGCAGCCAGGGAAGGGGGTGGGGGGGGAACTCCCCATCTCCCTTATCAGAGAATCCCAGAATGGTGTGGGTTGGAAGGGGACCCTGATGATCATCCAGTTTCCACAACTTACTATAGGATGCTTTTAAGTGGTTCCCATCCAAGGCTTGGAGGAAGCAACTCCAACATCCCTGCTGCAGAAAAAGGCAATAGCTGTTGTATTCCCCTGGCACAGAAAGTCATCCTTGGGATTTGCTGCCACTACCGAAACTGTGTTAACCCAGTCTGTGGGAATACCTGGGAAAGTCAGCCAAGGGAGAACCCCGTGGGAAGGCCTGCAGCAAGGAATATCAGGCAGGATGACCTGTTTAGGGACCATTTGACCAAACTGGACATAACCAGGTTCCTGAGACCTGACGGGATGTCCCTGTGAGCACGGAGGAGCTGGAATGTCACTGCAAAGCCCATTTCAGTCATCTGGGAAAGGTCAAGGCCGGCAGGAGAGGCTCCTGATGACAGGGAGAACGTGAAGGCCACTTCTCCCTTCAGGGAGGATCAGGGACACACAGACCTGGTTGGGCTCACTGGAGCTTCTTCCCCCTCCTTTGTGGCACACTGTCAATCCTAACCACTTGCAGTGTCATTCCTCATTGCTGTTATCCCTACAAGAGTGCCACAAGGAAATGTTACAACTGTGGCTCGTGCAGAACCTTCCTCCAGCCCACGTCCCTCACTGGCTCCGCAGGGCAGCATCCACAAGCACTAAAAATCCAGGAATTGAGTCCAAAAGCTCCTAATAAATTTCCAGTGCAATTAACAACAGTGGAAGAGGTCTCAGGAAAGAAACATTCCCAAAGAACTCTGCTAGAAGGACAACCCCAGGCAGCCCGACCCCAAACAATTCATCTGCACACGGATGTTCCATCACACACCAGGAAAAATGACCAGAACTACCAGTTCTTTAAGTAGTTTTATAAAAGTATTTGACTTATGGAGATACTGTTACAGTTACCTGAGTATTTGAAATTACAATGCAAGGAAATATCGACAATGAATTTCAGTACAGTATTTTACAATCCAGTGCTGCTGATCCCAGTTTCTTCACGAGTTCACTAGAGCACATATACACAAACAGTGAATCTTGGAGAAAATTAAAAGACACCACAAAAAGGGGGCTGGAGATACCAATGTAACTGAGTTGAAAATACAAATCCAGTGCAGCATGTAATAAAATGCAAAACCAAAAAAAAAAACCTATTAAAAATTAAACAAGCATTTTTTTTGTTTTATTTTTCTCAGAATAATTAAAAAAAGCTTTTTATTTTTAAACACACGCAACTGGATTAAAAAAACCCCAAACTTCCATACTAGGTCAGATGAAGACATGATGTATTTACTGTGCATGTCATTAGTATATGAACAGTTCCTGAGCTACCCAAAACAATAAGGCTTTGTTAATTCTCAGCATTTCATTTTCTCACATCACTCTCATGAGGGAAAATTCTAAATAAAAGTTCTTTTAGTACTTGATAATTAGGATCAGTTGACAATTGCATATAAACATGTTTGTAACATACTCTGACTTTATGCAGCTCAGGTTGCTAAATCAGTTGAAGTAGTGGGAGACAAATTCATTAATCTCTGCTGAAAATCTCACTTGTGAATCCAATCCACACTAACCTGTTATCTGGGACATTGGCTGCTCTGGGCTCATCCCTGTATTGCTTCACCAGATCCCCAGAAAGAACTGAAAAGTGCACCACTGGCTCATATTAATTCCTTTTTTTTCAACACAACATGCTGTAAGAATTTACAGATTTGTTAGTATTCACAAGTCAAATGCCTGAGGAATCTGAACTTGTGTCTTCAGAAATATTGCCAATTTAACACTGTGAAGTTGCTTTAAGCTTTCTATATTTTGGCCAAATCTAATGTTTTATTCATGTTTTATTTTTCCTCTCTCAATGAATTCTTTATTTGCAATATTTTTAAATCATATCTGGTGCTTGGGATATCCAGCCCCCTTCCTCCCATCCTGGTACAGCAGAAAAGACATATAAACATGCCATTTAAATTAAAAGAAACAATGGAATAAGTGGAATCCCGGACATCAAAAATATATACAAGCAGGTATGTTTTTCCTGAACTAAACATTTCAACCATAAAAATATTCAACAGCCAAACCCTATAGAACTAGGGCTAAGGCTATTTCAATTATAACTATTCTTTATTTTAAAAATATAGGGCTGACAGCCTTTTGGGTGATATTTATACATGAACAATAGTTCTAGGTTCCCTACATGAATCGTAAAGCAATATGCAGAACATAGACTATTTTTCATAGCTTAATCTTGCATTATCTTGCTTAGTTTACTCTCTCTTGTAAATATGTTAGATAACTACATTTCATCATAAGAATTAATATAAACAGAAAATATATATAAGGCTTTTTTTCTCCTCATGAGCTGTATAATGTAATACAACCAAATGTTGAAGTTGGCAATTTTCCTCCCAGTCAGACCATGAAGGTGAGTTCTCACCATCACGAAACTTTAAATGAGGGCATTTCTGTATCACCAGCAACCCTCCCCGGGCCTTTCTTTGAACATGCCTGACAACAGCTATTCACTCCAGCCCCACCCTCCTGCCTTCCCAGAGCATTTACCACTTAGCCCTGACACGCTCCTGAAGTCAGTTAAAACCTGTAGTGCCTTGGTTCTTCTCAGACCCCAAGCAGTTTTTCCCTCTTGCAGTTTAGATGGATGGGACAGCAGGAAAGAAATATTCTTTTCCAGACTGGAAGTTCCGTTTTACACTTTCCCACTGTCCTGTTTGAGCTCTGTTATCTAGAACAGTCTTCAAAGCAGCTCCTGCCACACTGCTCTGAACTGCAGACGTGCTTTAATATGTGCTACATGTTATTTCAAGTGTCACATCTCACTGTGGCTACAGCTCATCTCACTGGCATCTGCCTTTGGGCAGGGAAAGGGCTGACCAGACTCAAAAAGTGCATTCAGTCTAAAGAAGCAGTAAAATGCAACATGTTCTTTAAACCAGAAAAGAATTGAATATTAAGAGATTCTAAAAGGATGCTGTTAATCCAACAGGAACTCACTACAAAAGTTACTAGTTGTAAGAAGCTGAGGGTGAATTAGCCTAGACACCTTCCCAAAAACTTTAGTTTCAAACTTTATCGAGCTATTTACTGGTGCTCCAGCATTTCAGAAACCTGTAATGCATGCCTGAACCTCCTAATCCTCTTGGCCTCAGCCAGTCTCACACATCAGTTCTTCCGCAGAGATGATGAGTGGGATCCTTTTCTGAATCCAGTTGTTTTGTGCCTCTTCCTGAGAACCCAACGAACTCTTCGGAGCAAACTGACTGCAACATGTAGGAAAAACACCGAGGACAATGTCCATTAACACTGCTGACAAACATCAGCCTGCAAACAGGGACCTCAAGGCAATCAGTGCAATCCCAGGTGGGCTTGTCTTTTGCAAAACAAGTGAAGTACCACAGTGTTAATATTGATTTCAGAGTTAAAATGTGTTACACAGCAAGAGATCAGAATCCTTCGGAGGGCACAGAGCAGTTCCAGCAACTTTGGGCAGGTGTCTGTTTTGCTGACAGGAGCAGGGTGGGGATAAACCAAAGCCAAGCTATGCCCTGGATTTGTGCCACAGTTTGACATCCCCTTAACAGCAGCTTGAGTCCAGCTGGCACGTGAGCAGACTCCAGGTGGGGAAAAACAGTCTGGCCACACTTGAGTTAGAAAAAGGAGCTTAAGGAACGGGAGCTGCTCACAGCACAGAGGTGGATCCAGGCTGGCTGGCTCTGACACTGCTGTGGAGAGGGCTCAGGATGCTGCTGCAGCATTGCAGCTACCAATGAACTTCCCAGTGCACCAGTAGCAAAAAATGCTACTAAAAAGGAAAGACAAAACTATTGTTAAAAATCTGTCAGTCATTAAGGACACATTCTAATTAATGAATGGTAAAACAAAGCAGAGCCCAAAGCTGTATTAAACCTCTACTTCGGTCATTAGTCACTTGTAGCCATTATCTGATTGCTCATTTGATTTCTGAAGGTGCTCAGTAGAAATCCAGAGTTAATGTGGATAACCTCAGGATAACATCCATTTATTTACACATTAGTATTGTTAAATAAATCCAAGTCAAGTCTACTTTACAATGAAGTGTGCAACAAGCAGAAGAAGTGAAGAACATACATCGTGTGGAGTTCTCATTCTTCAAGGTGCAAATTTTTGCTACTCTTGCCCAAATCCTTCTGTTTCTTCAATTGCAAACAACAGCTTTTCCTTCAACTGCTCATAATTCTTATATGGTGGAAGGTCTAAGCGATTGAAACTGAAAATAAAGAAAAAAACTTACGTACTGACAAAGAATTCAACAGTCACAAAAAATCCGTTATGAAAACAGGTTAATTTTTGCTGTGCAGATGGATACTGGGATTTATACCCTGTGAAAAGCTGACTATTGACATAAATTTATGTACTTCTGAGAGCAGAGTGCTTGAACAGTGATAGTTTTCACTAACCCTTCCTACCTGGTTAACTAGAGTCATATTCAGATTTGAAATTTTAAATTTGTGTGGTTTTACTAACTGGTAAAACCTGAGGAAATGAGTAGAAGTGACCTTTTCCCTAAGGAAGACTGTGTGAATGTGGCTCCTTCACTAAGAAGACATGGAGTGCAGTAATAACAAACTTCTTTAAACAGTACTGTTAATTAATCTAAGTGTTCAGTAACACACAAATCCATGGACTTTGCAATGGAATCTACTCCATGCTGTAAGAGTTTTCCAGAAGATCAGCTATTATTCAACAACACAGTTTATTGGTGTAAGTTGTGTTTGCTTTTACAGAGTTCCAGTCATTTCAGTATATTACCCATTTACTAAAATCTCCAAGTAGGTTGTGGTCAGTAAAAACCAGAGCAATAGTGATATTCTGGGTTTTTATGTACTCACCAGGTATGACTTCTAGGTAACCAGTTTTCCTTTCCAACTTTTTCAATACAAAATTTTTGGGGTCCGTTGCTCCCTGTAACAAATTCCAATAGACAAGGCATAGGTCTGGTTACCTTTGTATTACTATATGATACTATATAATACACCTGGACTAGGCAAGGCTTAAACAAAGAAAAGATCACCCTTACTTGCACAGAAAAATGTCTCATTATACAGCTCTGCCTGGATCAAAATTATGCATGTGGTAAAATGCATCAATTGAAGTGATTTTGAAGCTTAATACATCTCTTTTGCCATTATAGCTCAAGTATGTGTAGGGCTTACAAAACAGCATTCATTATAAAATTCACTTAAAATGTCCACAAATATATAATTTGGTTCTTTTAAAAAGTATCTGCTGCATTAGAGGGGTTATTAATACATACCCATGAGGTCAGCAAATCCTCCCACTGGCAATCTGCATGTTCCAGTCACAAACTGCAAGAGTCTCATTCTTTTCTCATTATCTATTTCTTTCACAAACTGAAAAACAGTAATTGAAACAAACAGTTGGGGATAGGTTTGATACTCAGATAATCACATCATAATCACCCACAGACAAACAAGTGCCACAGCTGGATCAGCAGTAACAGTTTATTTTTGCACTCTCCAGATGTGTTCAGGGTTCTGTGCCCTGAGCTGTAGTTGTGCTCTGTGACTTCTGCTGGTCTGACAAGAAACCAAAGTCTGCAAACCTGCCAGAACCACACGATCTGCCTGCTGGTCCTGGTGTAGTGCCTGTAGATGGTGTGTCTCTGCCAGTCATTCAGATCTATTTCTTGCATTCCACAGAGAAGCACCTTTGGGGGGGAAAAAAAGGAAATACATGTATGAGTACAAGTTTTCACTTTCCTTTTGTGACCTCCCACATAGCAAAGCAGCACACGAGCTGCACCCACCCTGAGCAGCACCTGCAATAACAGTACACTTGTTTTTGATTTTAAACTTTATCTGAAACTTCTACACAAAAATATTGACTGCTCATGAAGTTTATTTGGAGAGGCTACAAAATAAAAAGCATCTCTGCCATAAGTAACTGATTGCAGTTTCAGGAAGGAATCCTTCCCTGTGAGGGTGGGGAGGCCCTGGCACAGGTTGCCCAGAGAAGCTGTGGCTGCCCCTGGATCCCTGGAAGTGTCCAAGGCCAGGTTGGATGGTGCTTGGACCAACCTGGGACAGTGGAAGGTGTCCCTGCCCATGGCAAGGGGTGGGACAAGATGAGCTTTAAGGTCCCTCCAACCCAAACTCCTCTGTGATTTTACACAGACAATTCAAGCCAGAACAGTTTATCTTTGCCCAGCCATAAAATTCTCCACTAGGGACAGGATGTTTTGTTTTGATGTTTTTGTTTTTTAAATGCTTCAGAAATTGTGATTTTGAGAGATCAAACCCATCTAGAGCCAAGTCCAATCTATAAGCAAGCGTTCATTGCATATCTGGCTTTATCTCCCCTTCTGCCAGGTTACTCATTCTTTGAAAACAGCCAAATCAAATTGCTCAGGATTACAAAAGCAACTCAGTAAGAAATTTCTGCTGACAGAATCTTGGCCTTTAGAAACATCTACGTAGGTTGCTAAGAGGCAAGTTCAGGAAAACACACCAATCTAATACTACTCCATAAAGTTTCCTCCATAAAACAGAGGTGTCAGCTTTAGTGAGCTCTGCTCTTCACATGTACTGACTGCAGTTAAGAGTATTTCATGTGTAATGAGCTGGATCCAGCAATAGCCAAACAATCCTTTACCTCCAGTTCCTTTGCATCAAAATACTGCAAATACTGTTGTGGCAGAATTTCATTGAAGCCTTCAAAGAAAGCCTGTGTCTGCTCCTCAACACCTCGGGAAAGTCTCCACTCTGCTACTAGCCTGGAAAAGAAGACACAGAAGGGTAATTTAAATGGCCAGTGCTAACCCAAGTCCTCATCTTTGTCTGTTTTGAGATGAAATGTAAGCTAAGTTAAAAAAAATACAGAAAGTCTGGAAAGTTCTGGGGATAGAGCATTGTATAATTTCATTAGTAACCTTTACTCTGTGCAAAGGATTTCATTTGCTCTTTCAGTTAAACCTGAAGTGTCCAACTATTCTCCTACAGAAGCATTTTACACTCAAAGAGGAGGCAGCATCTCTTCACTGATTACCTCCATGAGAGCACAGCAGTCCTGAGGTATTTGAAGACAGTTCAAATGCAGAGCTGATTTTGTCCAATATTCTCCCCAGAAATCTCAGTCATGATCCATGACAAGGTAAAAACCAAGTCAAGCTGTACTGGGAAAGAGCAAGCAGGACTGCTGGCTTACCAGAATGACTGTTCCTTTGGAAGTTCCATATTTGTTTCTGTTAAGGATAAAATTTTGCTCTGTGGCAGAAACTCCACTCTCCATTAATAAAAGGGTGAAAAGCAGACAGGAGACTCAAAGAACCTGAACCCAAGGAGAAGCAGATATTATACTAAATCCAAGCCTAACCTGTCAGGAGCACTGGAGCCTAAAGGAGAGGTGGCTATTTCTTATTTCAGTCCTAGAAACTTGGGGGATTTAAAGCAGATAAAGAGCAACACAAAAGAAAGTGAGTGAAACTGGAATCTGAGCTCTCCCTACAAACTAGAAGAGAGTTTCTACAAACTTTGTAGTTCCTACAAACTAGAAGGGAATGATTTTCTGCAGATCCTCCCTCCTGCCAAATGCCAGTGTGTTTCCTCTGCAAACACCACCTTTCCTGTGAATCCCTAAGTGACACAGATTCCTCATGTGATGAAAACAGAATCCACTCCCTTCTCCCTCCCCCTGCCCGTGGAAAAAGCCTTCCAGAACACATCATAACAAACAGGAAAACTCTCCTGTGACTCAGTTTAGTTTGTGCCTGCAATGTGTGATTTTTTTTGCAAGCACATCCTCCAAGCCTGTGTGTTGAAGTTCACACCTTAAATCAGAGCTTCTCGACTGCTGCACACTGAGGAAGGAGGGGATGTCTAGGGACAAAGCAGGTCACTGTTCACAATTGTATTACTTAATTGCTCTTAGGTTCCTTCTCTCCTAAACTATTGCTTTAAAACATTCTGGTACTGCAAATATAATTCTTCATTTATGAGAATACAATTTATGAGATCATTCATATAACACTGTCCTGTTACAATTAGACTGTGACATCAGTTCAGATAAAACTAGATGGAATTGCAACTATTTTTTAAAAATATGAATCATCACGAAAGCATCCAGAAATGATCTTAAAAAAAACCCAAACCAAACCACTGGCTGGGTAGAGTATCAGCAGGCTCTGAAGCAATATAATTACAGTAATTAACATGTGCAGAGCTTTCATGAAATACCTGACATTCATATTTGTTGTGATGGTGTTCTGCTAAACTTAAATATCTCTAGAAAAAGTGGACTTTCTTCTAACCACAGTCTTTGGGAAAAGATGATTTTAGAAATTTATTTCTATCAATATTCCTCTTTCAAACATGAGATCCAAACAAGTGTCACTTTTTGCCAACATCAGCAATTACTCAGAGGCAAAAATTTCAGCAATGCTTCAAGTGACACAGATGGTCTTTTGAAACTTAAGAAAGAAAATGACAGAAAGAGTGTTTGAAAGTGTTCACTTATTCTTACCTGATGTAGTCTTCTTTGTTTTCTTCTGTGACCAGAATGTTGCTACCATTTGGCTTCAAATCATGGCTTTTGATTTCACCTAATATTTCTTTATCAACAGAGAAAAACATTTCCAAGCCACACTCTTCAATGTCATTCTCTCTGTAAGGAAAAAAGTATAATTTTAAATAACTGTGTTGAGACCTTGTATGCAATAAAGGAGATGAGCATGAAGAACCTAAAGATAAAAGGTGTGGAGCACATGATAATTATGGCTTTGCAAGAAGTCCTGACTCATTTTGCCAATGTGTACACATGAATTGTACTCCTGATTGGAAACTTCTGATCAGCACAACTCTCAAATTCGCCTGATCTGAGGAATGTCTATGGAATAGAAGCTTCTCAAGCAATGCTATTTTTGCAGATTCCATGGCATGACTGCCCCTTCTCTCAGCTAATGCAGGGACTGTGTTCAAAGGCAGCTGTCACTGACAGGTAACAGCAGGTGAGAAGCCACTTTTCATGGTCAATGAATCATCTCTTAACTGCAGCCTTTTTATGGCACTGTTTTGTAAACATATACTACAGTGTCCCAAACTCTTAAGTTAATTAAGTACAAATAGTGTTAAAGAGGAATTCTCCAAGAAATTTCAACACAGGAACAATCTGAAGCCAAAACTAAC